CTGATATTGAAATCCATGTGTTTTTAGATGTTCATCAATCCTATTCTTTAACATGGTTTCCATCACTTTCCCCACTACTGAAGTAAGGCTTACTGGCCTATAGTTGCCCGACTCCTCCCTATTACCTTTCTTGTAAATGGGCACAACATTAGCTAACTTCCAATCTTCTGGGACTACTCCTGTTAACAATGATTGGTTAAATACATCTGTTAATGGTTTTGCTAGTACACCACTAAGCTCTTTTAATAGCTTTGGGTGTATTCCATCAGGTCCCATTGACTTATTTGTCTTTACTTTTGACAGTTGAAATAGAACCTCTTCCTCTGTAAACTCACGTGTAATAAATGACTCATTTATCCTTTTTCTCAACTGAGGTCCCTTTCCTTCATTTTCTACTGTAAATACAGAACAAAAATATTCATTGAGGCAGTCAGCCTGACCTTTATCCTCTTCTACATACCTTCCTTCTTTTGTTTTTAATCTAACTAATCCTTGTTTTACTTTTCTTTCTCATTTATGTATCTAAAAAATGTTTTGTCCCCCTTTTTTACTGACTGTGCTATTTTCTCTTCTGTGTGTGATTTGGAAGCTCTTATAACTTGCTTAGCCTCTTTCTGCCTAATCTTATAGATCATTTTGTCTTCCTCACTCTGGGTTTTTTTATAATTCCTAAATGCTAGCTTTTTGTTTTTAACTATTTTGGCCACATCTGCGGAGTACCACAGTGGTTTCTTGAATTTTTTGCTTTTACTGACAAGCCTAATGCAATTTTCTGTTGCCTTCAATAGTGCAACTTTTAAATAAACCCATTTCTCTTGGACTCCATTTTAAATTGCTCCAGTCTGATAATGACTCCTCCACCCATATTCTAATTTTAGAAAAGTCTGTTTTTCTAAAGTCTAAAACTTTTGTTTTTGTGTGGTGTGACTCAGTCACTGTTCTTATATTAAACCACACTGACTGATGATCACTGGATCCTAAACTTTCACCTACAGTAACATCTGATACCAAATCTCCATTTGTTAACACTAAATCTAGTATGGCCTCTTTACGAGTTGGCTCCTCAACAACTTGCTTTAGAGACAACTCCAGTAGGGAGTTTAGAATATGTGTGCTCCTGGCACAAGTAGCTAATTTTGTTTTCCAATTTACATCAGGAAGATTAAAGTCACCCATGATGATAACTTCCCCTTCATTGTCATTTTAGCTATTTCCTCAACTAGTAGATTATCTAACTCTTCAATTTGTCCAGGGGGCCTATAAATCACACCTACACGAGTTACTGTGTGATTACCAAATTCTAACGTAGCCCAAACGGACTCTATGTTTGCCTCACTAACTTTTATTAGGCTAGATTTTATGCTATCCTTCACATACAAGGCCACCCCTCCCCCTTTCTTGCCTTCCCTATCTTTCCTATATAAAGAGTACCCTGGTATTGCTATGTCCCAGTCATTTTTCTCATTGTACCATGTCTCAGTAACAGCGACTAAATCTACACTATCAGTTGCCATTATTGCCACAAGTTCATGGATCTTATTCCCTAAACTGCGAGCATTTGTAGACATGACTCTAAGCTTATCATTTTTTAACACACTTGCTACAGGCACCTTCTGTCCTTGTTTTGGGGACAATTGGATTGATGTTTTATCACCCTTTTGCCCCCCCCTCCTAGTTTAAATACATCCTAGCAAAACCTCTGAACTGCTCACTGAGAACATTTGTTCCCTTTTGAGAAAGATGCAAACCATCTTTTTTGTACAGCTTATCTCCATTCCAAACAGAGCTACCATGAGAAATAAAGCCAAATCCTTGCTCCCGACACCATTCACCAAACCACAAATTAAAGTCCCTAATACGCATCCGCCTGTCGTTCTGAGTGTTATGCACAGGCAGAACTTCAGAGAATGACAGTGTGGAAGCAACCTGCCGTATATCATTGGCAATGACATTTTTTATTCACTACTTTTACAATATTGCACTCTCATATCTCATATCAATATTTATTTTGAATATACTGAACATCCTGCACCCGTATATCATAAGTGAGGACTGGGTCAATAAGACTGCTCATCTAGAGACTGCCAGGCTCGGCATCATGCAACAGGGTTATTCACAAAAGTAAGAATTAACAGGAATTAAAAGTCAATTTCAAATTTAAGTCCAAAATTAGTCAAACTGATAGCGTAACAGATTGATAACGTATGGACAAGAGAACTGAAGGTTTTGCAAGCTGTTGTTAGATATATACGCAATGAAAAATGTCTAATTAAACACATGCAACGTTTCGTTTGGGGTATATCTTCTAAACATTGATTTAAAAAAAATAATAATTTTGTATTAGAGCAGTGGAGTGCCCCTTTAAACAAGAGTCAGTATGGAGAGCTAGTGAATGATGAACCACAAGCATTTTCTATACAAAACACAGAGAAACATGTCTTTTTTCGAAGCAAGTTAGCTTATAACAGAAGCCAAGGCAATACATTTTCACGCAATAAGGGCAAAATAAAGAATGTTTAATTTGTGGAGATAAAGCACATCAGCTAGAAACCTTTGCATGACAGAAGAGAATACATTAAAATGCTTTTATTGTTTTTTAAAAAGCCAACACTGCTCAGACTGTGCACCTATCTGTGACATAAAAGACTTGGACACAAAGACTTGAAGGCAATTTCTCATTCTGCAGGGTAAAGGCAAGAGGATTAGACATAACAGTTTGACAAAAGAATTCCAACAAAGAGCCATGTGGATGTTGTCTAATAGAGAGAGGCACCCCTATTCCCAAACAGGGAATCCCCCTCCACCCCTTATGGATGGGCGCTTGTAGTGTGCTGCTTATTTACACCTTTTCTCCCATACCTCTGCTCAGGGTGTCAGCACTTCTTCATTTATTTAACATTACTGACTATTGCATGCTGCACAAGGAGCTGCAGATTGTTTTTTAAATAATTTAACGAATCCCAAATTCTATCCCCTGAGCTGCCCCAGAAATAATGAGACATTTCACATTCTCATTTTCTGTCCAACTTTGAAAGGCAATCTGACTGCAAACCCTGGGGGTGGCATAGCAGCAGAACAAGAACACTGGGCATGCCAGCCAGGACTTCACAGCCCGTCATCTGCATGGTACATGTATCACATGAGGACAAGATCAATTACAAGGTTACGAAATTGGTTCTAGAAATTATGAGCAGGGATCTGAAGCAAGGTCAGGCCAAGCTGTTCTGGTACTAACAGAAATTATGAGTAATTGCCACGTTCAGTACAAAGTGTGTTAAGCATAGGTTTTTCTAGGGGGGAGGGGGATTGGAGTGGGGGGCTGTTGGGATTTTCCTCTAATGACTACAACGGCCTTTTCATTTTATTTTTGTAAGCTGAAATCAAAGTGAAGTTTTAATATGGAGCTTATTTGCTGATACATAATTTCCAGTGTCTCTTCATGTTCTTGCAAGTTTATCCTTGGCTGAAACACCACATTCCTGGCTTGGACAAAGAATAATTAGTCAGGATAAGATTAATCACCATAATACTTTAATGTGTTCCTCTAATCCCTTCTGCAGAGTGTTTGGTCTGGTGCTGCACCCAACAATAGAGTATTTGCCAGTAAACCTTGATGGGAGTCTCTGCATTGTTTACTCAGCGCTGCTCTGTGATTGGATGGGTGGTTTATTACATTTTCATGTGAGATGAGGAAAAATAGAAGACATTCCATAAGTACAATCCACCCCCCTCCCTTTTTTTTTTTTTTTACTTATATAAATTTTTATTTTTCATTTTAAAAAATTCATCCATATACATTTTCAAAAATAAGATTTTGCAATATGGTACAATATTTTCCTTTACAATAAATTATGTAATTATACATATAACTAGTGTAGCCATATTTCATATTTCACTTAAACATTGTCTACATAAACTACATTCGAGCCAAAGAAAATAACACACAATTCCTCTTTCTTACAATCTTACAATTTCACAGGTGCTACCTAAGACTGGCTGACTGTGGGAGGGGTTGAGTTTTTGCTACTAAGATGTCTAACCCAAGGGGCCCAAATTTCATCATATTTCTCTCTGGATAACTTATTTGAGGCTAACCCAGCTTCCATCCTACGTTGATAATCTGTTTGTATACATATATCATGCCAATTTAACGAACCCATATTTCTCCAATTTCTGGCCATAACTATTTTTATTGCCATAAAAGAATGAATCATAAGAATTTTTTGTTTTATATTAACTTTTGGCAGATCTAAATGGAACAGGAACATTTGTGCCGTAATAATAGTTTTAACCTTCAGAATGAAATCCACCAAGTCCGATAAAATTATTTTCATAGATTTCAACTCCTCACAGTCCCACCAGATGTGGGAGAATGAACCTAACTCCCTACCACATCTCCAACAATCTGGTAGAAGTGTGGGTTGAAATCTATGAAGACGAGTGGGCACCAAGTACCAACGGTATACTAATTTAAAGTACACTTCCTGTATATTCACCCCATGTATGTGTCTTTTTACTAATTGTGGGGCCGAATTCCAATTTTCAACCGAAGATGAAAAATGGAGTTCCTGCTCCCAATTAATCATTGCCAATGCTTTAACTATTTGCCTTTGGCATCTTTGGCACCCCCCTCCCTTTTTAAACAGGGAAAGGTCACATCATCAGGTCCTACCTGGTTATTATGAGGTATCCTGTGTCGCAATTCAATTTTATTTTACATTTATAACAAAGAACTAAGATGGCCTAAGGATCTCCGATTCTCTGATTTTATATTATTTATATGAGTGTTTGTTTCAGTATGATACTAGTGAAATATGAAAGGATTCGCTCCATTACTGCTATAAAAATCATGTATTTCTAGTAGAGGTTTGATGTTTATAAAATGGGATGTGCTGGTGTCCATTGACTAAAGACAGGAGTTGCAATTAAAGGGATTCTATAGTGTTAGGAATACAAATCTGTATTTCAAACATTCTAGAGCCCTCTAGTCCATGCACCCCCCTCCATAACCCCCTTCCACCTGTGGAAGAAAAAAAGGCTTAAAAACCCACCAGAGCAGTGGTTCTCAAACCGGTCCTCATGGTCCACCAACAGTCGGTGGGTCTTGAGGACTGGTTTGAGAACCACTGCAAAAAGGAACTGTTTCTCAAGAAAGCTTAAAAGTTATTATCCGAAAATAAATGTTATCTCAGTTTCAGATTGCAGGACTAGTTGGGACAGGAACACTCCACCCAGATCACTTCAATGAGCTGAAGCGGTCTGGTTACCTATAGTGTCTCTTCAGACATAACTGAGGTTTGATTTATGGAAATATTTTGTTTTCTTTCCTGTGTTTTTATGAGATTAAATGTTACCAGTGGATAAATGTTTTTGTTTTTTTTATCATTTGATATTGTGTCTTTGATGTTGGCATTGAATACAAAAATAATTATCCATTAATTTCATAGTTGGCAGTGGTTACATCTCCCTGCTTCATTCTCTAAATAATGACAACAGACTGCATCTGCCTGTCTTCATCTATCTGCATTTTTCTTATAAATCATACGTTTGTGACTGAAAGATAAAATGATACATTTATATGTTCAACCTGACTACTGAATTTATACAGTAAAGTATTGTACTTACAAGAAAGGATGTCATGACTGTTACCCAGCGCCATACTATTATATTATATGTCTCTGTGTGGTGCATAGGCATGGATACCCAATAATAACAAAGCCTATAGGTGTAAATAGCTGTGGAAAGAAGGAACTTACATAGTTACATCGTTACACAGCTGAAAAGAGACATATGACCATCAAGTTCAGCCTTTCTCACATTTGTTTTTCCTGTGAAAATACCCAGTGTGAAGCACTTCCAATTTTGCAACAAACTCGTAAAAATCCTTCTCGACTCCAGAATGGCAGTCAGACTTCTCCTTGGATCAAGAAGCTATTACCCTGCATATTAAAAATGATATCCCTGAATATTATGCTTTTGCAAGTATTCGTCCAGTTACCGTTTAAACATTTAAAGACTTGTACAGACTCTGATGAAACCACCTCTTCAGGCAGATAATTCCACATCCTTATTGTTCTTATTGTAAAAAACTTTTTTTTTTTTCATTTTACTTTCCGTTTTCCCACAAACACTCTTCCCTTTTCTTTTAATTATCAGCTTTGTTTCCAGACAACGCTGTATGATACTGAACTGACAAACACTGTTGGAAAAAACACCTTATGCATGATAGGCACTACAGTTCATTGTCTTCATGGTTTTCCTCTCAAATATTTGATGAGCGTTTTGACACAAATTGCACTCAACTGGCCACCAAAACAAAACGTACAGCTTTGCATGTACCTTAAATGTTCATACAGTAAATCTATGCTTACAGGCCAACGCACAGATATTCAGCCACTCATTTTTCAGATATCTTGTTCTTTCAAGAATATAACATGTAGACACACAACAAAATCATGTATTCCTAATGTTACCGTGTTTCTGTACCTATTTAGATGTTCGGGTCCCTCTAATTTTAAGCAAAAAAGGCATTACACTTACCTTTATACCCCCGTTTCGTCAGTCTCTGTGCAATTGCTTTGGCTTCTTGTCTAGATGGCAGCCTCCATTCAAGCCAATAATTTGTCTTTTACTGTTAATGCATTAGTTACTCACTGTCAGAATAAAGGAGCACTCTTTAAGTACTACGGCACGCTGTAGTGGTTTTGCTGCCTGGAGATCTTTGGCACCCCTCTAAGTAGTCAAACTATATGCTAGTAATTTGGCAATGTACCTGGGGTCTATCTGGCACCAGTCACCTCTCTGCTCTAAGCTAAGTCTTAGGTAAACCTCAGGAAAGGCAGTACCGCAGGAGAATGGAAGTTCCTAGTTGAAGCAACCAGCTCTCACTGGTGGAAGTGACTGGCAATGGACACCAGGTAAGATATGAAGTCACTGTTCTGAATCTCTAGTAACTCTGTGTATAAACATTCCAAATAGATCTCTTATTGGACATGTTAAAAGTTTGACTGTATGTACTATATGTTATTTTTTTGTATCTCTGCTTTTAATTACATATAAAAGCATTTTCAATATGTACCCTGTGAGTTGCTTTCTGTGTAGGGACATGATATAAATTGGACTTATCTCTAATTTATTTTTATCACTTCACGTAAGCACCAAAGGCTTTCTTTTTCATCTTAAAATGCATATAGTTTGAAACTTTTTTTCCCCACATACCAACCTCTACAATTCTTTATCACGTGCACCAGTTCTCAAAAAGGAACTGTTTCTCAAGAAAGCTTAAAAGTTATTATCCGAAAATAAATGTTTCTTTTTAATCTTCTCAACAGTTTACTAATTTTACAGTGTGAGAAAAGCTTAATACCTTTAAAAAAAAATACATAAAATAGAATAAACTTATCAAAGCAGCCATATTCATGGATTTGTGGGGTGGTGGGGAGGGGGGTTAAATTATAATCAGTTTTTAAAGGGGAACAGTAACTTTTTAATATAATCATGTTTACTTATCCCTATATTTAACAAACAAGTATTTATGAAGTGTAACAATAGAACTAAATGTAGAAATTCAAACCTCTTTATCGCACAACAGTGCACCTCCAACTTAGCTCCCTGTCAATCATTGTCTAAAGTTCTGTTCTCGGCACAGAGAAAGCATAGAGAGATGAGGATAAATTGTAGATTATGCTAGCTTTAGTGTACCTATAATCTTAATTTTATTAATGACAGGAGGCTTCGTATTTGATTTTTTAACGCTTTTTACACAGAAAAGTAACATAACATTAAAAAAAATAATTAATATACTCCTTAAATAAGTATCCCGCCTTATCTATTTAGCATACATTCATTAATGCAATATGGGTGTCTTTTGAAGTGGGATTCCGTTAACCCTATGCGTTCCTTATATTTTGCCTCCCCGTGTACAAGGACAGTTTCTGACATTGGTGTACACTGTAAATAGCCTGAGCGTCCCGACTTTTGACATCCGTGTAGGAGTCGACACACATGGTTCCTCCATAGAGTTCACCGTAGACCTCATTAAAGGTAGTTAAAAAGGTGGGTTAGCGAGAAACCAAACCAAGACGGTTCCCGTGAGGGATAAAGTGTATAGAAGGAGAGCCCTCCATATCCGAACCATGGTCTCCAGATATGTGCTCAGAAGAGTAGGGGCAGTCCCGTCATCTTATCCCAAGATTGTAATGACCAGGGAACCCAAATCAACTGTGGATTCTGGTCTTTCCATGCGATCCATGCGCCCGGTGTACCTTCAGACCGGGTAGTGGGCCTTCCCTAGTCTTGTTACCCGAGCAAGGCAGAGCCCGTTTGCTCTATGAAGGCCTTGGGATCTCATGTCACCTTGACATGGGATAACTGTTCGTGCAGTTTGTTCGCGATCGTCTGAATATCCTGCACTCCTGTAATACGTTAGCCGTACCCTCTCCAGGAGTGTGTGTAAATAAGTGGGGAATCTCCCCCCCCCCGTAATACCACTGTGAGTGGTCCGGTACAGTAGATCCATTATAGGGGTGAAATAGAGGGGTCTAGTCGAAATATGATACCCTGTAAGATCAGACAGCCCTCTATAACGAAATTGGTAGCACGGTCGTTAGATCTAATCAAATGCAGGAGGGGCGACCCTCTAAGCAGTCATCATTGTCCTGTACAGGTACAAGCCTGTGTGATGACTAAATAGACGGCACCGTAGTGCGTTGAGTGTATGGGAGAGGGGCAATCTCTAATAATGTGATCGAATTCCATGTCAGCGCCTGCCTGACAGCATGAGCGGTCCGCACCTGTTAATAAACAAACCTTAGAGTTTACATATGTGTCCGGTTCCCTTTTATGAGAATGTGTCACTCAAAACATGTCCTCTGTATCCAGCTCGGTATCGGGCTGAGGTAGAAGGAGGGTCGCGCCCTCTAATGATGAGTCAGGGGAACTTTCGGAAACAATGATGGAAACTACCCACGGAGCGCCCTGTTTCCGTGCGAGCGCGCAGGAACCAGGATGACCGTCGGCAGCCTGAGGAAAGCTGGAGACGTTCTCTGCAATCCACAAGAGCTGGGAGGTCGGCGGAGGTCAAGTTAGGCCTCTCGACTTCCCGGGTGATATGGTAATTTAAAGGCTCAAAAACAAAGAAACGACAAATAAAGTAGAAAAAGGTAAATACGTACCTCTGAGAGAAGGTGAATAACCGATCGGAAGAAGCAAGACCAGGAAACCCAACTGAGAGGGTCAGGAGTTAAACATGACGTAGGATTAACTACCAATACCTAAGGTGGATACTTGGAAGGCAGCTAAATGGTTAGTTGTTGAAGGCATGGAACAGTGTTCCCCTGTTGGCGTCTGAGCACTGGTCTCTGCTTGTGCTAAATTCTATTTGGAGATGTGTCACTGCTGGGTTGGTGCAAACCGTGGTTGCATGCCTGGGAATCTTCATAAAGGCTTTGCCCCTCAGGGCATGAGGTGTAGGGCCTTCACCCTTCCGATCGTATTTAGGTGTCCGTATCCTGGTATCCTCTTGGATAGTATGGCAGCAGCGCTTGCCTGGACACCCACTTATCTCCATGTCAATAGTGGGCACTGAGCTTTCCTCAGTGATATTCCCCCAGGCCTGTGGCCAAAAGGGGGTTCGGGCCCAGATAGAACCGGCCAACGATGGGCACAGGTAGAGCAGGCCAATCAATGGGGCACAGACATAGCAGGCCAATCAATGGGGCACAGACATAGAAGGCCAATCAATGGGGCATAGACATAGCAGGCCAATCAATGGGGCACAGACATAGCAGGCCAATCACTGGGGAGCAGACGTGGCAGGCCCATCCTGGGTTGTGTATTAAATGAGTAATGGGCACCCTAAGTTTGGGCAGAGTCCCCTAAATATCTGTAGGTCCTCAGGGTCTCCTATGACATAGGACACCTAAACACCAACCGTTTCTTACAGTGTAATACTGTGTGAATAACCTGAACCGGGACTAGCAGTCCATAAATGCCCAGCAGGCAAAATAGTGGTATTCCAGATGTATTGGGTATAAGCTGAAGTTGTTCCAGTGATTATAGTGTCCATAAAAGCAAGATATACTGAGCGATACCTTCTTTAAATTGTGAATTGGTAAGCAAAAGGACCTACCGATCCGTGTGAGATTTCTTATCTATATATAATAGATCATCATACCACCTGAAGGGTATTGTACCAATGGTCTCTTTCAGGAGTAGGGT